TGATCTTAGGCATGGATGACACCAGCCAAATTCGTCAGTGCATATAAATTTAGAGATCTGGTAAACTAAGATGATGGATTGCGAGAACTCTATATGTGGACATGAAGAGTGCGAGACGTGGGACATGCTGTTTTCAGAGGGGCAACCATAATCAGGGGCACGGTTTTAGTGGAAGAAGAATGACGACTGATAAACTAGACGGGCTTCTGTTGAGAATGGCAAAGATCAGTCGCTTCTCTGTTAAATCAACGCCCCACAAGCTATGTCGTTACACTGATTCAATTACAACTCTAACCCATAGCTTTAATTAGCACGGTTTAAACGATGGACGCATAATTGTCTTACTTCTTACAAACATCTGACACGATGCTGCTTTTATGAACTGAGCCCACCTCAGGGGAATACGGTTCCTGAATATAGACTGGCCAGCCCACAGCCCGGATTCAAACAAAATCGAAAATGTCTGTGAGTTTATTGATGAAGTGGGTTTACACGCATGAAAAGGTATTCTACGGTGTCCACCAATGAAAGATAGTTATCCTTAATCAGTCATTAATCAAACATTCCGTAACCTACTTGAAAGTATGCCTGCGTTTAGTGTTTTATTTATGAATGATAAGGGTCGGTATATTTTATAACCACTTGGATATGTTCGCTATTTTCTTGGGGTGGGGTAAAAAGCATTTCGCATCCCTAGGAGCACGTTTTCTAGGATAAATCAGTTTTTATATAATTCCTGATTCAAATCCGTCTGGTTTATATATATACGGTAATGAGTTGGATTATCAACAAATCAAATTTAGTTTATCTGGGGAGTTCAGTTACCGCGGAATTACGGTAAAACAGAGTGCGTTTAGTAGCACTAATTCTCACGCTACTTGATACGTAATTCTCAGCACGGACAAGTACCACGAAAACGGAACACAGAAGAGCAGACAAATATCACTGAAATTATTTCGTTAGACTTGGGAAACAAAGGCCAAAAAAAAACTCACGCCGGGCTTGGGAGCCAATCGTTTATAGCGCTTCGTAAGGGAATACACAAGCAGCGGGATGAACAGGCGATGCAGGAGTTGATCGCACAGAACCTCATTGATAGCCTCGATGTCGAGTGACAATAAGTCATTCACATAATGTAGGTGATCAATATGTTCAGCAACTAGATCACCAAGTTTGAAATAGCACGAGGAACTGTCAAATATGTTTGAGCATGTGAAAGATTGAAGAAGGGAAATTAGTACGGAAACCAATTAAATGATATCAGGTTTATGAGAAAAAACAGTTGCAGGCAACTTGTACCAGAAGTGTCTCTCTTTGTGTAATGAAAGATAGCGCAGACGGAAATCAGTTTTTAATAAAAACGTTCTGACAGGACACTGGTAGTAAAGATACTAAGCACTTGACAAGGGTAATATCATTAGGTCTGGAGACAGACACCCTGAAGAAACATTTTTCATCAGTTGAACAACTGAACACCAATCACCACACAACTGTGCAATGACTCAGACAGAACTACTGCGAAGAAAACGAATGACAGACGTAAGCACAAGTTATGTACAAGCCAACTGAAAATCAAAGGGAGGACATAAAATAATAAAATATTCCCGAGCATCTTCACCGACAGTTCACTGTAAAATCTCATTCTCACTGATGCTACGGCGTCCCCGGGAAGTGTGGTGCCTTGTTTCACTACAGTGATGAGGAAAAAGTATACTAGCTGGAATAATTCGCAGAAAGTAACCAGTTTACATCACCTGTTGGAATGTCCACATTCTACAGGATTCAGGAAGTCAGTGCATCACCACACAAACTCTGAGTGACTACCAGATTGACAATAGTTGTTGTTTATTGGTTTGTATTGCTGATGACGGTGTGAAACGCACCGAAATCACAGATGGGCAGCTGGCAATTCAAGACCCTATGGTGCAGCACACCTGCAACTTCAGGACCAACCGTACCAAGATCAACTGGGACCCTTGAATTCAAGCATTCTCATATCATTTTCCACCTCCTCTCTGGTCACTCAAATCTCTCCAGGCACCTTCAAACCGGTCTGAAGCAAACGTTATTTGCATTTTTCACAGTTAATAAGACCGGTCAATTTTCCTTTGCCAGTCGCATAAAGGATTCCGGAGGAAACTGGATTCTGACTAACGATCATGTTTTACCATTTGATTCAGATTCGCTGGATTAAATTACAGATGAACCACAACGGAATCCTCACATCATTGGTGTTTCCGAACTATTGAATCACCCGGCATAAACACGCTCGTTGGATTGGGTGCTCAAAAATTGAAAGTTGTCTACGACGTCCCTCAGTAACAAAAAAATTACAAACAGCCGCCAGCTCCAGGAACATACCACCATCAGTCGATTCGTGGCTGTTCATAAGCAATACAGACACACCTGACAAAAACCGGTATTCGAACCGCAGATCGTAAGGAAACAAAATAAATCTAAAGGAATGCACAAGCAATCGATAAGACCTGGCGAGAATTCTTTCGTATATAGTAATACGAAAACGTTTAACTCAAATGTACTCATGTGCTGATGGTGACGACTGTCGACTGGATAAATCAGCCGTGGGGTTTGAGGATTCTAAGTGAAAAGTAGATAACTTGTGAACAGCGACCAGAACGAGAGTCTAGTCAGTAAGGTAGTCACGAGTCCGAACACAGATGAATATGCTGTTCAGTATTTATCGTTGACTACCACGATGTGAATAGAAAATGTATACTAAGATGATGGCTTGCTTGGTACCGGTTATTGGATACAACACCGGCCATAAAATAAACTTCTGGACTTCCTCTCATGTAATGACCTTAGAGGAGGATATCAATAACCTGATGTTGGATAACAGCCCCACCAAGGGCTTAGAACATAGTGCCTGCGTCCATGATGAAGCGTGAACTAAACACATCGCAACGCGAGAGCACAAAGTGGTGTATATGGTAAAACGAAAACAAGCTAATAGGTACCGGGTATGCTAGGCTAAGGCTTGGCAATCGCGCCAATAATATTTTATCGTAAGTGCTTGTGTCTCACTCGCCCATTCTCGTTCATGGCGTTTTGTTTGCTCTGCCTTGCACGTTTATCTTTAACCTCGACCCACGGAAGACCTGTCAGTCAGTATTTCCACGCCACATCCCTACCGCCGTTCGTCGCCCGCAAAGCCTCGCATCGTCTCCAGCTACAAGAACACGGGCCGAAGGACACCCTATCGCGCACCTCTGTTCATTCCGCTGCGCTGCGAGAGCCCGGAGTACGTTCGCATTACACTAGCATGTTGATCACAAATGTTTCACCGAAACCCATCAGTTGATGGCTAAAAGACAGAAAAAATTGTATTTGTAAACAATCTGGAAGACTAGAAAGAAAAAGAAAGTTGAGAGAAACTGAAAACGTCTTCCACCATAACGGCAGTCCCTTCAGCTTTTTACCCAAATCATAGCAGCTGAAAAACTTTTGAACCCAGATTTCCGAAACAAAACTAGGTATAACAACCTGTGCGCGTTAAATTGTTTTAGTGTTACTATTGATACTCATAGAAGTCAAATTCTTTTAGGAAAATCTTCCATGTTTCTTGATTTCCTATTGAA